AATACTGAAATATTATTCACAGTCAGTTGTCATGGCAGCCTGCTCATTCTGTACAAAATAGAATCCACTTCATTTTAACAAGATTTAGCAGAGGAAAGCTACTCGCCTGCAGACAGCCTCTGAGTTAACCTAATTAGTTTGGTTTTATTATTACATATAGCCTTCAGACTATACTCTAATTATACCCCAAAAATCATGAATACTTAAAATCACTAATAAAAATATACTATATGATTTTTTGTTTAATACCTGCACCACTCCTAAAACCTTCCCATCAAGCTTAGAGGCAAGTCACATTGTGTGCACAGTTGAATCCACTTATAAATCTAAAGAAGACATTAAGTGTCAGGGAAGTGGAGGGAATAGCCAATTTCATTTCTATCACCAATTACCACTGGCTAGACACTGCTATCAGACATTTTCTTTTAAGTGGGGTTCTGTAGGAGTGGGGAGTAGCCAAATTGTTCTGTGTTCAATTACATAGCCCCAAAAGAGTGACTTTAAAATTAGAGGCATCTCAAGATATATAAATAAGGGAGGGGGAGACAAAAGATTTTGAACTGATCTCTTTATCTCCTGAATGGCTATCTCTATCAAATCTAAGCTCACTGAACATGTTGTGGGTGATTTGGGAGATTATAGATAGCTATTACTGAGAGGAATGCCACATGAGGCCATCTTTACTATTGGACAGGTTTCTGCATATTACCGTGGCCCCACTCCCCTCTGCCTTCTCCACTTTTGAGTTTCTTCTTTAAGAGAGAGGAGACAGGGTCTAATTAAAATCCAATAATACCCTAAGTTAGGAAACTACATGCAATGATTATCATCCATTAATATCTTGGAGCAAAATAGCCCTTTGGGTTAATTAATGTTCTTCAAATGCCTAAGATGGGGCCATATCTGCTGGAAGCTACCCATTGTCCACACTATCATGAAAATGCAGCAAGGAACACAGAAGGCAGATGGACCTTGGGCTTTAGCAAGGGCTAAAAGCTATGCACCGATAGTTCTGTCAAGACAATGATGGCTCAAGGCAATCCCCTAACCTGATAATCTTTTACTGTTTACCAAACCTTAACTTTGATATGTGTGTTTGCTTTGCTAAAGGGAAAATGTATATTCTAGTAAATAAAAAGCTATGGGTCTGGAGATTCAGAGAACCTCTCGACTAGAGAGTAAGGTCTCCACCTGGCTCCCCCGATGCCTTCTAAATTTATATTTCTTGTCTAGTATATCCGTTTGTGCGTCAGCCCCTTCTCCAGACCTTGAACCTCAGCTGCAAATGGATGTGGCAGTTACACATATCATATACTTCTCTGTAAAACTCCCACACTGCCCAACACTGTGTTTCTAGACATATTGAAAACATTTATATATATAAAGAGCCAGGGTCCGTAACAAACTAAGGCTCAACCTAACACCGGAAGGCAGTGCTGGGTTGCCGTGGCGACCTAGCACTGACTGCCGAGGGGGCTGCGGATTAGGCCCAGAGAGAGGTCTGCAGAGAGAGAGGCAGGGTCTGATCTGCAGCCTCAGTGGCAGCTGTTGATCAGCCATTGCCTCTCTCTTTCTCTCGGGCTTCGCCAGCAGCCACGCCTCTGTTTCTCTCTGGGCCTCCAAGGGGGCTGCTGATCAGCCCCGCTTCTTTGATCAGGCCCAGACATAGGCCTGGAGATGCTGACTGGCATAGAAACTGACCAATCAGAACCAAATCTGGGTGAACTACGAAGGGAGAACCTAAGGTGGGGGCTGAGGAGGGGTTTTAAGGGCAACAGCTATTTGGTGTAAGATGTAAGAAAGCAGTTCAATTTTTTAATGACCGCTTTGATAGTATAGTGCATATGGCTGGCTATCAGTCCAGATATAGGGATTAGGTGTTTTTGTCTGCCAAGAGCATCTCCTCCTGCTGAAAAAGCCACCCCCCCCCTCATTTAAGCAATCCTATTTTATATAATCTATCTATACTAATAAAAGGGTAATATGCTAATTAGACCAGGTCAACTGGCCATTTTCCGGACATCCGACTACCTTCTGGACAAAGCCATGGTGGTGGGGGCCAAGGCAGAGGCAGTTAGGGGTGATCAGCCAGCAGGTGAGGGCAATTGGGGGCAAGATCAGGCCGGCAGGGGGTTAGGGGTAATCAGGCCAGCAGGTGAGGGCAGTTGGGGGCAACCAGGCTGGCAGGGGAAGGCAGTGGGGGCAACCAGGCCGCCAGGGGAGGGCACTTGGGGGCGAGGTCAAGCCGGCAAGGGAGGTCAGTTGGGGGCAAGATCAGGTCAGCAGGGGAGGACAGTTAGGGGTGATCAGGCAGGCAGAGGCAGTTGGGGGCGAGATCAGAACAGCAGGGAAGGGCAGTTGGGGGCAATTTGGGAGGCAAGAGAGGGAAGTTGGGGGTGAAATCAGGCCAGCAGGGGAGGTCAGTTGGGGGCAATTTGGGAGGCAAGAGAGGGAAGTTGGGGATGAGATCAGGCTGGTAGGGGAGGGCTGTTGGGGATGAGAGCAGGTTGGTAGGGGAGGGCAGTTAGGGGTGATCAGGCAGGCAGAAGCAGTTGGAGGCTAGATCAGGCCAGCGGGGGAGGGCAGTTAGAGGCAATCAGGCAGGCAGGCAAAGGCAATTAGGGGCAATCAGGCAGGCAGGGAGGTAGAGGGGTTAGGGGCAATCAGGCAGGCAGGCAGAGGCAGTTAGGGGCAATCAGGCAGGCA